ATATATATATATAGTTTCTTTCGTTTGTCCACCACATTGCTGATTTCATGGCATTTTCTTCTCGAACAGTCAACGGAAAATCTGGAAAAACAATTCTTAATATTCTTCGCAGAATTATTTTATTCAAAAATTTATTTATTGAGGAAAATTTTGCCTGATAAATCATGAAAGATAATCTGTTATTAGAACATAATAGAGAAGAGGACAACAATAAATGAATGTGAATACAATTTTTTGAATAAAAAAGTTGTATGTGAATACAATTTTTTGAATAAAAAAGTTATTTATTTATTATGAATCTTCATTAGTAGAGAAAATGTGCGTAATATTCCTCTGTGTGCAATAATTTTAATAAAAAATAATATATTTATGAAAACTTAGTCTCAGCATGCATTGGGGTAGATATTTGTTTCGTTTGTCTACAACTTTGGAAATTTCTTAGTACTTTTCTTTCCTTAATATTAAAACTTTATCTAAGAAATCATGAAGGAAGATAATTTATTAATAGAGAAAAATATTTATGAAAATTTGCTCTCAGTATTCATTGGCGTAGATATTTTTTTTTGTTTGTCCACTACATCGTAGTATTATTTTATTCAAAATTAATTTGTTTATGAAAATTTGGTCGCAGCATTCATTGGCGTAGATATTTGTTTCGTTTGTCTACAACTTTGGTGATTTCTTAGTATTTTTATTTCCTTAATATTAAAACTTTATCTAAGAAATCATGAAAAAAGACAATTTATTAATAGAGAAAAATATTTAAGAAAATTTGGTGGCAGTATTCATTGGCGTAGATATTTTTTTTGTTTGTCCACTGCTTTGCGATTTATTAGTATTTTCCTTCTGAACAAAATGTAGAAAATTAATTTTTAATATTAAAACTTTATCTAAGAAATCATGAAGGAAGACAATTTATTAATAGAGAAAAATATTTATGAAAATTTGGTAACTGCATTCATTGGCGTAAATATTTGTTTCGTTTGGTGATTTCTTGGCATTTTCCTTTCGAACCGTCAACGGAAAATCTAGAAAAACGAAAAAAACAACGGCGAGAACGAAATCTAGAGTAACTAGTGGCCCGGGGGCTCAAGTGTATTTTTCGGGTGGATGAGTACGGCGTATACAGGGGTGCAGCCGGCAAGCAGCTGCCATCCGTCCCTCATATTAAACTACGCACCGGGTGGTTGTCCACTCGAGGGCACCTAGCGAAGCCGTGTGCGCCACGTATTCCGAGTACGACCGTCAACTTTAAAGCTCTCGCTCTATCTCCGTGGCGGAAGAACCACAGTACCCCTTAGAGCGTCCCCCACCACTAAGCAGACGCTACCACACGCTCGCATCAGACTGGCGAGCGTCTCTTGTAGCCAAACTCATTCGTCAGTCGGCGAAAAGCACAGCAGCTTTGCGTATCGTGCCTTAGTCGAATCGCCGCTTATACTTTAACGTGTTTTCCAAAGTAGTGTTGTTGCGAACCGGTAATGGGGGTGCCGAATTCCGAAAAACCCATTTTAAATTAACCCGCCCCCGCATGTGCTGTGCCTTGTGGATCTCTCACTCTTATGTGCACGTTATTAACCAGTGAACATTACTTAGTGAGCAGTGTTGATTCTTATCGGCTTATGGCGTGGTATTGCAGAGTACCTTTGAGGTAACAGCGCTTGGAGGCCGTTGCTCGCGTCACTTCTGGAAGCTAACAACCCTAACGAACACCTCACTCTCTGCGATCGTCATGTATTGGATATTATTCACTCTAGTCGGGCTCTCCGTGGCCCTTCGGGTAAGTTTTTCAAACTTTCGCGGGTGAAATACTGCGCGAGACAGTGAAATATTGTGTAATTGGTCAGTGTCTCGAGCGGGACCGTTAGGTTTTTACGCGTCTCGAATTAAACTTAACCCTCGTCGGCGAAAATATCACCCCTACGACGCGTTTATCGGTGACCCTATTCAATACCGCACCGCGGATAAGTTTAATTCGCGGATAAAATTGAAAAAGAAAACCGCTACGACGCCGAACGAAAAGAGAATTTTATATTTAGTGCCAATTAACGAAATGTGCAGTTTGTCTGGGTCTTAAAATAAAATGCCGGGCAACGTGAATGAAAATCGTGGAATCATTTTGAAAGCAAGGTGTTTGTTGTTCCTTTAGGCCGAATCGTCGGGAGTTTTCGAACTTCGTTTGATATCTTTCGACAACGAAGCCGGGAAAGACGATATGGGGAAATGTTGTACCGGGAAATCGTTGTCGAATAACGAATGCGACGGGGTCTGTCGGCCGAGATTCCGGATTTGTCTTAAAGAATACCAAGTTAAAATAGACGCCACGTCACCTTGCACCTTCGGAGACGTCATTACTTCGGAAATGGGCCCTAATCCGGTCACCGATACACCCCAGAACGGGTTTTCCAACGCCATCAGCCTCAAGTTTCCCTTCACTTGGCCGGTAAGTTATCGCTTAATTAACCCACGAAAATCGATTAGCGACACTTTTTTTCCCATCTCGCTGCTAACTTTTGTTTAGGTAATTCCCGCGGCTTTTCGTTTATTAATCGCCATAAGATTCGTGAGAATCTCGTTACGTTCGTCGTCGCAAGAAATTCTTGACCCTTTTTTTTAACTCCATAAATCAAATTGTGTTAGTGTTTACTTGTCAAACATGAAATTTAACGTGAGATTGCATTCGGGCCACTCGAAATCCGCGGTTCGTTGCCATCAATTTATCGAAGCTTCCTGCCGAAATTATTCTCAGGATAATTACGGATTAACATAGTCGGAAACGCCTATTAATGTTAAATTCATTAACGTTGCAAATGAATGCAAATTAATTTGTGGAAAGTAAAATAAAATCGCCGTTAGTACCGGGACAACCCGTCCTGTAAAAATGTTTACTGCTTTTAACTTTATTCAAAAAAATTATAAGAAATAATTAGGTTACTATCTGGTTGAAAATTTGATCGAAACTCAACACTGTTTTTATTTTTATTTTTTTGCAAATTAGTTCAGCATTCTATGGGAATTGGTTATTTGATGAAATCATTGGTAAAAAAAAATGTTTTGGAAAATTTAACCTAAGTAGTGGGGAGAAGGGGGCAAAAAAAGATAAATATACTTTATAATATAAATTTAATCTAAGAAATGATGAAGAAAAACAATCTATTGGAAAATAAAGACAGGAGGGCAAAAGTAAATAAATATGCTTACAATTATTTGAATAAAAAAGTTATTTATTTATCATAATTTGTTTGTTGAACAAAAACAGAAAGAAGGGCAAAAAATAACATAAATATCCTTTGTAGTATTATTGTATTGAAAATTAATTTGTTTAGGAAAATCTAATCTAAGAAATCATGAAGGAAGACCATCTAATAGTAGTAAAAATCAGAGAAGGCGTTAAAAGTAGATAAATATGCTGAATATAACAATTTTTTGAATAATTAATTTAATTAATAAAGTTATTTAATTGGAAAGTTTTATTTAACAATTTATGAATTGGTACAGAAAAACAGAGAAGAGGGCAAAAAAAGATAAATATGCTTTGTAGTATTATTTTATTCAAAATTAATTTCTTTAGGAAAATTTAATCTAAGAAATGATGAAGAAAGACAATCTATTAGAAAATAAAGAGAAGAGGGCACAAATGAATAAATATGCTTAGAATTATTTGAAAAAAAATCATAATTTGTTAAAGAAAAACAAATAATAGGGCAAAAAATACCTAAGATACTGAGAAACTCTGGAAATGTCACTAGCCTGTAAAAAAAAGATAAATATGCTTTGTAGTATTATCTCATTCAATATTAATTTGTTTACGAAAATTTAATCTAAGAAATAACAAAGAAAGACAATCTATTACAAAATAAAGAGATGAGGGCAAAAATAAATAAATATGCTTACCATTGTTTGGATAAAAAAGTGATAATTTGTTAAAGAAACACAGAGAATAGGGCAAAAAATAACTGGGGCACTGTAGAAGCGTGGAAATGTCACTAACCTGCAAAAATGTGTACTTCTTTTACTTGTAGACAGTATTTTTTACCATTTTGATATTTAATTTCATCCAAAAAATAATAAGAAATAATTAGGTTATTGGGGACTATGAATTCATTTTAACAAGGCTATGAATTCATCAGGAAAAAAGTCTGGAGTTTCGTAGAAAATGTTGCTAAATTTTACGTATGGTACCGAAATTGGATACTCGGAAAAATAGTACAAGTTATCATAAAGAAACCTAGAAGGAATTACATATTACAAGCATGTACAACTATTTTTACAGTATTAATAAATACGTTAATTACAAATTTTGAACCTGCGCAACTTGTCTACTTTTACAAATTTATTTCGTGACTTTAAGTATTATATTTTTATTCATATATTGTTTTGTTATCTTGCTACACATACATTTTGTCTATTGTGGTTAAATAAATAAACCTAAATCTATTAAACTACTCTAGAAAAATTATCACTTTTTGAAACATTCATTGTAAACACTATCTTAGCTTAGGAATTAGGAAGGAAAAATTTTATAAATTAGTTTGAAAAGTAGAGGCATTCAGTGTAACTTAAATTCAATTAAGAATTTTATCTAAAACTTAGGAATTCATTGTTTGGAGAAAAAAAAAATTATCAACATTAGTTTGGAAGATGTTATTAATTTTTAGCATGTTCATTGTCAAATTTTAAATTGTCTCAACTTACTTGTTGCCTAGAAAATATGGCATGTTATAAACGATTATTATACTAGTGTGTGGAAAAAGTCTTTACCTTCTTACGTCTTCATTATTTTCACTATACTATACTATACTATATTTGCTTTCTGCCAAAAGAAGAAGTACACATCAGGAAAGAAACTTGAAAAAAGTCAGCAAGTTTCCTGGAAAATTGTAGCACTATAATAATAATAAGGATTGTCTATTTGGAGAAGAAAAAGGTAACAAATGGGAAAAAAGTTGATAAAGTTGATGAAACGCTAGTTTGGAAAAAGTCATCAAATTTTACGCAGTTAATTTTATCCAATCTTAGAAATTGGTCGTATAGTATAAATTATCATGAGAAAGCTTTGGAAAAGTCAAGGAGTTTATTGCAAAAAAGTTATGGAGTTCGAACGAATATATTATCGAAGCTTATGAACTGGCCATTTTGATAAGAAAAAATTGTCATAACAAAAAGTTTTGTTTAACACTAGTTTCGAAAAAGTCATCAAATGAAGTGGAAAATTCGAGTAATTTAGTGCAAAATCGTTCACACTAGTTTCGAAAAGTTATCCATTTTAAAGCATTTTGACAATTCAGTTGCACACTTAGAAATGAGTTATTTGGAGAAAAATAAGTTTGGAAATTATCATGACAGATCATGAAAAAGTCAGAAAATTTAGTGGAAAATTGTTACTACGGTTTGGAAAAACTTCTGAGAATGATTATTCGTAATATTTAGGTACTACACTAAAACTTGTTTCTTTGCAAAAACAATTTTGTATTTTGACATTTCCCGCTTTATCCACAAAATGGCGGAGATATATTTTTTTTTATTCCGCTCACTTAGTTTTGTGTATTTGAATAAAAACACTCCGGGAGTGAAACGCCTATGATTTACTCGAACGGCATTAAAATATCCAACTCCAAACGTTTCGAAATCGCTGACGGGAAACATGGCGGGATCAGTGGCTGGGACATCGTTTCCGCTACAGATTTTAAAACGTCTTAATGCGACTATCAGGTATAATTCAACCGTGGGAAACTGAATACGCGTCCATTGGCGGTACGAATTTAGTATTAATTACGTTAAATTTCCCGATCCGTGTTTATGCCGGCGTTAATTAAAATACTTAATTAATTATCCGAAATTTTCGTTTTATTTTAAGGGAAGAACGTAACAAAAGCGCAGCGAAAATTTCTAATTGTAATTTCTAATGTATTTTCACTAAAACATTTTTCAGAAAAACAAAAAACGTAATTTTTAACGATTCTTATTGATTTCTCACACTAATTACACGAGACATTCGAGATTTTCCCACAAATCCGCGCGCACCGCTAACACAAAAGGCCCAAGAAAAATGGCTGCAGTAGTAAACCGGTTTTTATATTGTTTACTGTGGTTTATTTAATACGTTTTGCATCTGGCCGGCACGGACATGAGATGCGAATTTATTTTAACTATTATTAAGTATCGGGTCGTGGCTTTTCCGCCGCCGTACCTTCCCATGGTCGTTTTTTTCTTCTTTTCGGTCTTCAATATATTTTTATAATAACATATCATTTGCCCCGATAATGACGCTAGCGTAGGATTCGCTAAAACCGCCGTTGATGATCGTAAAGTTGCATGCGATGCGCCGCATCTTCGTATTATAGTGAAAGTAGTTTTCTCTTCGTTTTGAAACGACTCTAAAAATTTTTTCCCTCATATTTTTGCAGGGCACCTTCTCGCTCATCGTGGAAGCTTGGCACGGTAACCAATCGGCACATTCAGCAGGTAAGGCCGACTTTCAAATGTTTTGTTAGTTTCCGACAATGAAGCGTTTGTTGTATTCGACTCTCGATTCCCACACGAACATCTGCATGTTTCGAACATTCTCTCTCTATCTCTCAAATACCTAAATACTACCGAAAGTTTACGACAGTAATGGGCCCGTTTCACTTCAATATACAAAAAATTTTGGCGAAACTTTAAAGAAGTTCCAGTTTACGGGTTGTGTATGAGTGTAATAATTTAAAACAAGTATTAAGTATTCTGTGGTGCCTTTTTGCTCCAATACTTCGAGCCGTGCTCCAGGAAAGTTATTTATAAACGTCTCTCGAAAGTGTGAAGAGTGAAGAATTTTTTTTGTGTTAAACAAAACCCGTGGTGTTGTGAAACCATTTTATATCGAATACTAATCAATTTACTTAATTTAAGCTGGCAAGAGTGCTTTGCTCCTCATTTTAATAATAATAGTAACAATAATAATCATATGACTTTATTAATCAAAAGTGAAAATAATTTGAAATTCATTAAAAGGAAATGCTAGCGAGGCCTTGGTTAGAGCTACTCTACTAATCCAGCAAGTTCACTGTAAATTAGACACTAATGAAATACTATCAATCAATCTTTCTTTGAGCGAATGTACAAAATCTAGGAATTATATATTATTCCAAGGATGCCCGAGTGCTTTTTTCTCTATTGGTCTGATAAAAGTACTACATATTATAAATTCATAAATTACAAATTATTAAATTAACAATGGACCTCGTGGATTATAGAAGAATTTCATAAACTAAATCACTCACTTCATTTTAAGGTAAAACAAGATATAGAATAGTATATGTAACCACCATGAAAAAAGGAAGCGTAAAATTAAAGTCTCGATTTTTTATTCCCTATGCTAACCATATTTTTATCTATCTAAATGCTTAATATGTTATTTCTCCCAAGTCCTTTTTTTCGTTAGAAAATTTATTTCTTTGTTGGTTTTGTAAAATTATTACATATTATAATTTCAACTTATTAACCGACTGTAGAAGAAAATTTAATTTAACATTTCATAAACTAAATCACCCATTTTAAGGTAAAACAAGATTAGAAAATTATATGTACGTAACAATGAAAAAAGGAAACGTAAAATAAAAAAGTCGATTTTTTTATTGCCTTTGATATTTTTATCTATCTAGATACAAGTACTTTTTTTGTTAAATTGTAAAATTACTACCCATTATAGATTTGTAAAATAAAAAGTTATTAAATTATACGTACATACATAACAACAATGAAAAAAAAAACTTGAAATTAAAGCCTTAAACTACAAATCGAAAAGTTGTTATTTACAAAAAACCCGTTTCACAGTTGCATGTTCTCTAACTTGATTTTTTATTAAATTAATTTCATTAATAATCATGTGAAACTATGTAGCTATGTAGCAATTTGTTATATATTACCTTCATTTATTCAACCTCCTAAAATAAACTGTTATAATCTATGTGCATTTAAAAAAATATTGAACGAATATTTTAAATTAAATTAAATGCTGGAAGAGTAGTATCGTTTCCTCCCTTGTTTATAGATTACTATTTACAGTCTTGGAATATGTACCATTTTATTTTTCAGAATTTAAGATCATTATTATTATAAAAAGCAAATACATACAAGGTCGATGCTTTCTACCATAGAATTTTCATACTATGCTTCACTGTTAACATGATATCGAATTAAATTATCGAAAAAAACTGCAAAAGCGGCCGCTCCAAACAAGCCCATTAATATCGTGCGAATCCTACTTTAGTCTCCCGTTAAATCGGATATAAACTCATGTAGAAGTGTTTTTATCACTCTCCATACCCTAAAAGAACTATGCATCGGTGCGTGTTTTGTAAAACTAAATAAATATGTGGCACGGTATAGAGAAGCCACATGTATAACAGCTGTCAACTGCTCTTACGATATACAGCCCTCTCTTCCTGATAAATTTAAGGTTTTTCTTCCGGTGATTTTACTCAGTTTACCGCATCCGACGGCAGCGACAAAATATCGCGAAAATATTCGAAAACGACAGTGTCCCCGCGCCTTTTTGACATTTAAATGGCCATCGAAAGGGACCCCCTCGGTTACGAGGTACGTGAAATTCGATGCGACTAACTGTACTTCTCTACTTCGTTTACACAAGAGTCGGCCAGGTGCTATAGAACACAGTAACCGTTCTATTTCCCCACTCCCCTCCTTACCATTTTTTTCACTGCCGAACGGCTATACAGTTGACAGAGGAATGATAAATAGACGCACAATTCCCTTTTGACCGATTATAATGTCATAACCCTAACTTGCTCGTTTAAAATTGAAAAATCGATGAACAGCCGCCCGTTTATTGTATATTGTTAAAATAGCGATTTCAATAAGCTTCGGTTTATTTTTATCTTTTTAACCTTAGGGACACTACATACAGGCCACTTGACAATTTACATTAGAAGAATTTGCGTGGCATTATTCCTAATTTAATCAACATTGAAATAAAAAAAATAGCGTCTACAAATCTTCAGGAAAAGATTTTTATGCAAAAGTTGCACGAAATTAACTTTACTTTTTTAAATGGGACTCCCTGTACATTTCTACTTAAGATGATATTCCTGTTTAAACCGATTTCAAAGATATATAGTATGTATTTGAAATAACTCCAGCTGATTATTATGAACATGAAATAATTTGCCTTTTTTATATCACCAAAAGTAATCCTAAGACAGAGAGAGAATTATAATTAATTATAGTTTTTTTCACGGATGCACACATTGATAGGAACATACAAAATATGAAAATCTTACGAGTATAAAAAAAATTATAATATAATTTACAAACTATTCTTTGCAGTTATATCAACAATTGATAACTAAATGTTTTTCAAAGCAAAATTGTGTCATCATCTATAGACGTTATCGGATAGTATTTTAGTTTTGCAATTAAGTGTGTTTCTAATTTATACAAATCCAGTTCTCTTTCGAAATTAGTGAAATTGCCAAACTACTGAAATAATTTAAGATTTTGTAGGTTAGGTTAGGTCTTATCTTGTTTGGTGCGGCATGTTGGCTGATAAAATTATTGGAATTAGAAACTTTGTGAATTAATTCTAATTTTCATTTTTCCGTGGTAATGATTATTAAATTGTACTTTTCAATTATAAACTCAAGTTATTTCAAATACAAACTATAATTTTTATATAAAATTGCGTTGAACGGTAGGAAGTATACAAAGTGTTTCGTTTTAAAAAAAAACACAACTTTTGTATAAAAAGTTTTTGTCTCTCAACTTTAATGAATGAATGGTATAAATGAAAATCCAATTAGGGGAATCTGAGACTAATCAAAGGGACATTTAATTAAATATTTACAATGTTATAAACAAAAATTATTATGCAGCATTTTTGTAATAATAATATTAACGTATCCAGGAGCGGGACTATACAATAAAAAAAAAAGAACTAAAAGTTCAGATTTTCACTAAATTATATATATTCACATGACAATTGTTGCGACAACACCGTGTTTTTATCAAATGTAATATTTACAAACTACCTGCTACTACATATAACGAAAAATGACAATAAAACCTTAATTAAAGTTATGAGAATTTAAGTTTAATAATTAAATTAATAAATCTAATTGATCGTAAAGCAATACATTTGAATGTCTCCTTTTGTTAAACTCCATGGCTTCCAATAAATTTAATTTTCTACTTTTTGTGGCTGTATGTAAAATATCAAAATTGTCGTCAAAAATGTGTTTTTCTGTATTCAAGTGTGTAGCATAATTAGAATCTAGACTATTGTTTTTAAACGCTCTTTTATGTTCGTCAATGCGTTTTTTGAAGGATCTACCTGTTTGTCCAATATAAATTTGGAAAATATCATATAAGAAGAAGTAAAAGTTTTTTATGGTGGTATAGATACGTATATTGCTTGCTTTGTTGGAACGGACAGACAATTGAATTCTTTTTTTAATTACATTAACTTATTACATAATAGTATCCAATTCACTATCGAGATTGAACAGGATAACTCCATTAATTTTTTAGACTTTACTATTACGAAAACGCAAAACAAATAAGATTTTTCCATTTACCATAAACCTTCACACACGGACACAGTCATACAACAGCTCAAATCACTCCTATACACACAAAATGGCTGCATTTCACTCTTTTATACACAGACTTCTTAATACACCACTCTCAACAGAAAATTACAACAAAGAACTTAATATCATTAAACAAATTGCATTGAACAACGGCTACAATCCGTTCATTATAGATAAAATTATAAATAAATACAAATCCAGACAACAGTAAACTCCATTTATCCGAAACCTAATACAGAATACGAACGATTTAAAACAATTACATACATATTAGAACCTAGTGAAAAAGTTTCAAAACATTTGTCAACATTTGGTTTAAAAATAGCTTTCAGCTTTCATTTTTAAAAAACAATAAAACGAAATGTCCAAAATCTCAAAAATAAGGTGTCTACAGGTTGGCATGCGGATCTTGTCCTAAAATTTATATTGGGCAAGCAAGTAGATCTTTCCAGAAACGCATTAACGAACATAAAAGAGCGTTTAAAAACAATAGTCTAGATTCTAATTATGCTACACACTTAAACACAGACAAACACAATTTTGACGATAATTTTGATATTTTACATACAGCCACAAAAAGCAGAAAATCAAATTTATTGGAAGCCCATTACATTAACAAAATGAGACATTCAAATGTATTGCTTAAGGTTCAGTTATTCACATCCTCTCCATTATTAAACTTAAATTCTCATAACAACATTAATTAAGGTTTTCTTGTCATTTCTGGGTATATATAGTATCAGGTAGTTTCTAAATATTACATTTGATAAAGGCACGGTGTTGTCGAAACAATTGTCATGCGAAAGTATATAATTTCGTGAATATCTGAACTTTTAGTTCTTATTTATTTTGTTAAATGGATTTTCATCAAGTAAAAGC